CCCCAAAACCCCAAAACCCCAAAACCCCAAAACCCCATTTTGTTAATAAAATATTGAAATGCTAGCAAGTGAAAGTCAGGAGAAGATGGTCAAGGAGTACCTGGATTATCAGGTTGACGACCCTCTCTCATACGTAGAGTTTAAGTACCCGCTTAATGAATGGGATAATGTACCTCCCATCATTCCGAGATTTGTCCTTCGGATGAACCAACATTTGAAAGCAATTGTACATAAGTGTAAAGAGAAATTTAATGAAGAGACTACCAAGGACCTCCGCATAGACTTTGAGGCGCGGAATAAACAGTTAGGCGTCAGGATTGAGACTATTGTTGACGAACAAGAGGATGAAAATAACCGAACTCGGCAGGATATCCACAAACTTCAAGCTGACTTATTGGATTTGAAAAATAATTTTGAGAAGTTTTTGAATCAATTCAAAACTATGGCTGATGATGACCTCCCAAGCTTCTTAAGGAAGTAAGTTAATTTATGAAACTATAGTACGCATACACCAAAAGAGAAATTAAAGCAAGCTCGGAGTTATAGCATCTCTCAGTTGCAGGACTTTTTCGATTACTGCTTACGTAACAGTAAACTTCAGAAAGATTTCGATAAAGAACATAACTTCGGGCAGACACAAAATTTAAGGATAGGCGATCTCGAGGATAAATAAAAGACAGCTTAACAAAAGAATCGACATGTCAATCAAAGAGCGGAACCAGATTATTGAAAATATTCGAAAATTCATTCAACAAGTCAAGAAAGATAACGAAAGCAGGGCCAAAACTATAAATGCTGACATCAAAACCAACCAGGAGAAAATAAAGGAGCTGAACCAATTCAGAGATAGTTCCAGGACTTTTGAGGAAAATATCATAATGTATTTCTGCCTCTCTCACACCTCATAGACAATTAGAGAAGATGACTATCAAATTAGAGTAATACTCCACTTTTGAACTCTTTAGGCACAACAAATCACACATCAACAAGTGCATCAAGCGTAAGATTATCCCTGACTAGGTTTCAGAACTAAACAACCAGATGAACGATGAGATTGAAAAGGCAGGCAATGAGTTCAGAAAACTTAACGATGAGACCTTCAACGAGATGACTGAGCTTGCCGATACCAACAGCGCTAATATTGACAAACTTAACCGCAGACTTAACATAGAATGGAAGAATTCTGAGCAAGAATTTGAGAATAAAATCAAAGCTTTTAGTAAAGACTGCACGAAGAAAATCGAAGATGTGAAGATGAAAACTAACAAAGCCAGAGATAAAATCAAGGATATCTGCACTGACTACTTCACCAAGCATGAAGAGAATGTTATTGAGATTAAGACGAAGGTTAATAGTGTTATTCAGGTAAGCATACCATCACATTTTTAAGCGGAGAATAATCTGTTTCAAATTAATTAACGCAAGAGCACTCTTTAGATGCTCAATTTCTCATTTAAATTTACACAAAGAGCTTAGGCTATTTATTCTGAGAGATTATACTTTGAATCCTAAAGTATCCCTTGTTTATATATAGTCCTTCGAAGATTGGAAGATGTACGTGATGAACCCTCAAAGCATAAATGAAGCGAGGATTCACTCATTGGACGTAAAATGAGATGATATTGAGAAGCAAGTGAGCAGTAACTTCACTGTAATCTACACTATTGTAAAGAAGTTATTATTCAGCTTACAACAGCAAGCTGTTGCTCCAAAGGATCACTCTAGCCTTCTCGCTTCACTCAGTAAGGTAATATACTAAAATACAGATGACCCGAATCAGACTCAAGAGACTCAGAACTTTCATGGAATTTCGATGGATAAAAGGTCTGAGACTGGTAAATCCTTGCTTATCCTGTAGAAATGAGTCCGAAAAGCAAGAAAAATAGTGATTTAATGTTCCTCAAAAGAATCTTCAACCTACAAGGCCAGCTGAATAAGATAGCTGAGGGAAAATAGAAAATCTGTAAAATTAAAAAACTCATATTTAGACTGAAATTCGCAGCGCTGAGAGGTCATTTAATAAGTCAGCAGTCGGGGTTCCAGTCAAGATACCACAGCTAAACCAAAGTTTCTTCACTAATCATACTAAATATACAATAGATTCTGGAGAATCTGTGAGGAAGACAAGGTCAAGAAGGTAAATAGTACTTCTGAAGTTATAGGAAGCAAAATCAGAGTATTCCAGGTCCTAAATAAGGAATCAAGGCTCACTAAGACAAATTTCGAACCCTTCCTGAAGAGCAAAGAACTGACTAGGCCTATAGAGAGTAGATTTGATACTCCTGAAAGTACCTATCCCCCGATCAAAGAAGACTCAACTGGTAGATTTTTACATAATTTTCTTAGAGAGAAGACTTAATGCCCAAAAAGTTGTTAAAAAGGAGCCATTGAAGAAAATAACTAGGAACATGTTGGAGAAACTTAATGACAGTTTACACCAGAATACTAGCACTTATACAAATTCTTTTACTAACAGAAGTATTAAAGATGATATAGTATTACCTGAATCTCAGAAGGTCGTCTCAAGTACTGTCACCTTTTAATTTATAGACATCCCTCAGATAACAAAGATGCTGGATAGCAACAAGTACATAACTGATCTGGATAGAGAGAAGATGAAGAAAGAAAATGAGGTGATAAGTCCCAACAATGTGTACAAAAGTGTGTTCAAAGCTATGAATTCTAGCATTCAGTAATTTCAACAATTTTTTGAAAATTAGGGGTTTTGGGGTTTTGGGGTTTTGGGGTTTTGGGG